CCCTCTTTCAGATAGCCGACGATACCATCAATGTGGCGAACACCGGCTCGTTGATGCCCCGAGGATGATTTTCATTCAAGACTTCTCTCAGTAACACCGAGACGTTAACGTGGCAATTTGGTTCGTTGATACGCGCGATAAAGTGAGTTTTCGTACGTACGTTGAACTGTCTTATTCTCTTAAGTATCGAAGAAAGAGGTAGGACTGTTATATAAAAATTAATTATCAGTTATCGCCGGAGATTCTCACTTAAGGAAACGTGACAGAAGAACGATGGGGCAAGTTTTGCTTGGACTTCGATATTAGTTTAAAAGTGAAATATTTTGTTTAAAAAACATATTGTTTTTTTAAATTAATATAAGTTACTGCTTTTTGGCAAGGATTTTATAAAAAGGTAGTCGTTTCTAAGAATTAATTTGTATTTAATTAATATTTATTTAATTTAGATCAAGAGCTAAAGGCAAAAATAGGAGTATAGAAAAAAAGAGATGAAATACTTATATTAATTCTCTCTTAATTATTTTATATATTCACTTTTTATTATTATATTCTTATCCAACTAACTTTTCCAAATTATTAGAAAAAATCACGTTAACTTTGATTTTTTGATCATCTCATCTCTCTTCGCTAAACTATATTTAACTTAAGAAGTTACAAAATAACTATAATTTTATATATCACATATATATATCTCGAGTGTTTATAAATTTATAATTATCTTTGAACTTTAATACAACAGCGAAAATTTACAAATATAACCTTCCATTCACATATGTGACTGACTTGTTGAATCATTTGTGTTCCAAACAAGAGCGACGAATAAAGCGAGCGTGAAAATGTCAGGTATCTTGTTGATCTCGTGATGTATTGCCAAAGTGGCTCTGATCTCATTTCTTCGATCGCACCCTCGTTCTTCACAACACCTGTCGCGAACAATATTCAAACATGGAAGAGAATATCAGCTGCATGGAGGAAGAATGCCTGATCGAGAAGAGGAGGGCCACTATCCTAAAAGAATGCAAGGAAATACTGCAGGAAGAAGGATCTGGACGCTACAGCAAGGATGCCTTTAGAAGACTCTTCCAAGGTCAGGTACGCGTGTTCTGCTTAATTAGAATAAAAATTAGTTAAAAGCACTGACATATATCATATGGTAAATAGTAGGTTAATTAAAATTAATTAATTAAAATTAATTAAAATTAATTAATTATATTATATAAATTTTTATTCTTTTTGTTTTTACTTTTGGTGAGCCTTAGATATAGAAACGATATTTAAGAGAAATTTAAAGATTAAAGAAATACAATAGTTTTTAAAACATCTTGCAATTTTTTTTGTAATACATAAAAAAATTATGTATTAAAAAAAAATGGAGTTTGCCCAAACATAATAAATTCCATGTACACCAAATATAAATACAGATAAAATAATGATATACATTTTTTTTTAAAGGCATAAAAATGTTTGATAGAATTGTTATGAATTTTCTGAGATGATGAAAAGCAGAAATGCCGCTCTTTCATTCATAAAATACGAGGTTTATGTAGTAATTTTAGTTTTATGTGACACGGATTAATTTTATGATGGCTTTTTCGATGGTTTCGAAACATCTCGATTAAGGTATATGCATTATACAAATAAGTAGAACGTGATTTCGTAGGAAGAAATCGCGATAATTAAAGGAATATCATAACTTACGAGAAAGCAATTATTACGAAATGCAAAAATCATTAAATCGGAAAGCTGAAGATTCGCGCGGGACAGCGACAAAGAAATACGGCCAAGTAATTCGAATCGTCTGCTGACGTTATATGCATGATTTGCAAAAACACGTTGACCTTATGTGCAGACCTAATGTCTCGGTTTAATTGGCTAGACACTCTTGGATAAAACTTCTTCTAGACACAATCGTTTGTTGGCAAAACATATGTGTGGTGAAATATCTTAATGGAGGAGTAACTATATAAAATGACACACAAAGAGATAATTGATATCTTTTGTTTGCGTAGATTTTAGGGAAAATTTTTATATAAAAGCGGATATTTTTTACAAAAAGTTAGCTGCATCAATAAGTTACATCGTTTTTTTCATCACAAACAATAATTATCTTGAAGTCTAAATTTCGGTTGATGCTTACGATATCATATGATGCTGCAAATTTTAATTAAGTAACTAATCTTTCAATAAACTAACATGATTTTACAAAAAAAAAAAATATAGCATTCTCGTTATCTGGTGCTTTCTTAAAATGGCCGTGAGAAATTGCAATTATCATAATTATTGGCTTGCCATCACACTTTCTTTCGTAAAGAAAAAGCAGGCTCGCGTGGCACTAGTCGTGAAACCTCGATATTACGTCACTCGATGATATTGACTTGTCGAGCAATTTTGGTTCTTTTGAAAAAGTATTCGTAGATTTTACAATTGGCTTTTTTTTACTCGTGTTTAAATAACAAGATAGTATAAATATTAATTTTAAAAATAGCTATAACCAATTAATTAAAATTATAATTAGATAAAATATACGTTTGATATGTGATGAAAGATTTGCTGTCAAAGAAATCACTGAAAAGAGTACAAGCTGATTTCTTAATAAATGAGTAAATACATAAATAGCTTTTAAAAGATATCGGCGGATTAATTAATACAAGAATGCGAGACTTTAGAGATTTAAAAGATACGTTTAGAGGATAGTGAAAAAATACAACCCAGATTTATCAGTTTTAACATTTTTATTTTAATATTATATCTAGTATTCTCAAAAAAAATTTGGAAAATAATTAAATATAGAAAAATACAGGGGGGACAAGTGCATATCTATAATTTTTACATTTATATTATTAATTTTAAAAAGAATATTCTTTAGATTGTTATTGCAGCACAGATACGAAAGAAAAAAATGGAGCGAAACTCGATACAGTCGTCGGTACTCTATGATATCGTAGTCGCTCAACCAGTCAATCATTTCACACTCTGACAAAAAGCGCTGTCATTATATCGAATTTATGTATGATTGTGCAATGCTGCTTGACAAATGCAACGCTTGCTTGTCACCTATATCGGGACACGAAATTTTAATGTCGTCGTTTAAAATTTGATGTCTTTACTTATAAAAAATTTATCATAAGACATATATTATTTTCTCATTTAAAGATTATATCTGTATGCGAAATCGACGTTGCTCCGGGATAGAGTTTAAATCCGTTCATGCAGTATTGTACTTTCAATTATAAGAAGATCTTGCCAAATAAGGAAAACTATGACATAGGCGACGAGATTTCCTTATTGGAGCTGAAATATTTTTGGCTGAGATTTGCAATCTCGAGTCATTTATCGTACAATCGTCTCCTTTGTAAGATCGTGATCGGCAATGAGTCCACGTTCGAGAATCCGCGTAAGAAAAGGAGACCCGAGGCGGCGGTGACGATACGATCGAAGGAAACGAGGGTCTCTATCGAGGGCCCCCCGGTTTTCGATCAAGGTGGCCGATCGCCCCGGGCGGAAGGCCTTGATGCCCCGAGCGCCTCCCGGTCTCTTGGGACCGTTCGATCGATTGCCGAGACCAGTGATAGAAGCATCTCGGTTGGGGCCGACACCTCGTTTAGTAAACCATCCATTAACCCTTTAACCGCCATCGGCATCAATTGCCGATCGACTGTCATTATCGATCGAGCGTCGTTAAATACCGATTTACATCATTAAAACGTTTAGGTTTTTTAATATTCAAATTTAATTGAACAAGAAAAAAAAA